GGCCGGGCGCGGCCGGCCGTGGGCACGCCATGGACTTCAACATGAAGAAGCTGGCGTCGGACGCGGGCATCTTCTTCACCCGGGCCGTGCAGGTGAGGCCGTGCGCCCTGGGCCCCGCGCGGCCGGCTCCCGGGGCCCGGATGTGGGGCGGGCCGGGAGCACCCTGCCGCAGAGCCCGGGGGGCGCAGGAGAAGCCCCTCGAGGCCGCGCCCCCTTCCCCGCTGCGGGAATACCCCAGCCCCCCGCATCCCCTCATGCGCTGCCCAGAAGAGAGAGAGAGCCCGGGGCGGCCGGCCACACTGGCCGCGCCCTCAGCGTGGCCCACCGCCGGGGACTGAGCCGGGCCTCGGCCCTGTCCACTGGGCGGAGGTATCAGTGTCCACCGTTTCCACCAGCTGAGTTACTCGCTGCCCTGGCGCCCGCCCCAGACCCTGGTGAGGGCTCTGCTGGGGAGGGGCAAGGGCCTCAGGCGGCTCCTGCCTCCCTGCCCTTGCCCAGCAGTGACTCTGCCTCCCGACAGGGGTTTGGAGGCCTGAGTCCCAGGCCCAAGGACTCATGCACCGCCCCGACCCCGCCTCTGAGCCTCAGTCTCTGCACCTGTGCAATGGGCTGTGCAGTGTGCTGCTATGATTCCCTCAGGTCCCTTTTACACGCTTGGATAGTCAGGAGCGGAGCCAAGAGGACTGTGGTTGTTTTCTTCCTGCTCTGTGGGAGGCCTGTTTCCTCTCATTTCTCCAGGCCTGGGGGGTGGGGAGAGGGCTGGGGTCTGGCTGGGTGCCCTCCTTGGGAAGCTGTCCAGGCCCATGAAGCTGGGATTGGAGCAAGTCCTGTCCATTTAGGGGCAAGGAGAGAAACTGAGGCAGCTTAATGTAAAGACCTAGAGTCAGCTGTGGGTGTGGATGCTCCCTCTTGTGACCTTGGGGAAGGGGCTTCACCAGTCTGGGCCTCAGTTTTTCAATCTGAAAAATGGGATTAGCAGTTGCCCCCTCCCAGCATGGATGAGGGTTCCGTGGCGCTCTGCGTGAACGTGCTCCCTAAAGGCAGGCTCACTGACTGGCATTAATGTGGTTAATATTGCACCTGTGCGGCATGTGACCTTGGGCAAGTCACTGCTCTCGGAGCCTTCATGTCCCCTTCTGTCAATCAGGTGTAACCAAGGGTGGCTGCAGACTCGGGGCTTGGCGTCGCAGTGCTCTGGGAACAAGTCTTGTTGTTTGTCCCTTGCGTTGTTGTTGATCTTGGGAGGAGCCCAGCCGCACACAGCCTCTTGGAAGCCCATGTGGCCGTGTTTACTAGAAAGCGCAGTATCTCATTGGGGCTTAGTGCCCCAGTGAGGATTCGCTGCTCAGTGTTTCAAGCCCCCAGGTGACCCCAGCCCTGGTGGGGATGCCAGGAACCCAGAGCCCCTTGGCCAGCCCCAGTCCATCTGGAAGGTGGGGAATCTGGAAGGTGTTGGTATGGCAACCGCTCTATCTCCCACATCTGGGAAGAACATGATCTGCTGGTTTCCTGTTCCTGTGGGGCCCTGGCACCTGACCTGGCCAGGGCCTGCGGAGCCTCTGGCTGTGGGGAGGTTTGGGGCCTTTGGCCTCACTTTGCCTGGTGGGGGCAGGCTCACTGGGTCACCATACTGGAATGGGAGCCAGCGCCCAGGCCCCAGCCTCCAGAGTGGAGGAGGGAGCTGGGAGCTTTATAAATAGAGGCTTTCTCTGGCTCTGCACGCCCACCCCCTGCTGCTGCCATCTTGCAGGGAGCAGCCTCTGAAGCACCAGGCCCTTCCCCTTGGCAGGGATGGGGGAGGGTGGCAGGCCAGAAGAGAGAGGGGCAGGAGAGGACACTCAGAGGACCCTCCTGAGGCAAGTCTGTCCAGGCAATAGGAATCAGCCAGGAAGGATGTGGGGTAGTGGTTGTTATCAAAGTGTGGGCAGTTCCTCTCCGTAGGTGCTGCCTTGCTAGGTCCCAGGACATGCTGGGGAAGCACTCAGCCCCTCTGAGAACAGGGGTACCTTTAAGAGCCTCGCCCTGCCCCCATCCTGTAGGGAACCAGACCTTGGCCATGGGATAAGAATCTGGCGGGGGCAGGATCCCTTTTGCATGGGTGATTCTGGGATGGCTTCTCTGTCCCTGAACTGTGCCTTGAAAGTCAGGAGGGGCTTGTGAAGTTGGTCCATGTGGTGGGAACAGCCCACCTAAGGACACTGAGGCAGGAAAATCAAGGCATATGTGGGTAAGATGCCAGTGGGTGTGCGAGTGGGCAGAAGTGAGAGTACTAACCAGTCGTAGTAGTTGCAGTAACAGTAATAGTGGTGGTAGAAGTAATAAAAGTAAAGCCAGGGAGGCGGCAGAATTGTCATCATCCGAGCCAGGCAGGCAGCAGTGGACGTGGGATGGATGCCTAAGAGGGCGGGAGAGCCTGGTAGGACGTTGAACCCAGTGGATGTGGGGTGTGAGGGACGGGTGGCCAGGTGGCTCTGTGGGGAGTGCTGCCGTGAACCTTGGTAAGGAGGGGAGAGGCTGGGGGCACGTTTAGGGTGACCTGGACTGGTACCGTTGGGGTAAGGAGGTCCCTAGGTGGCTCCTGAGAGCTGAGGAGGGACATGGGGGAGGCCTTTATTGGTGATGATAACACTAGCTAACATTTATCAAGCCTGTACTGTGTGCTGGCCATAGAGTTAAGCACCTTCCAAATTTCTATGAGATAGGTCCTGTTATCCCCATTCTCCAGGCGGTAAACTGAGGACTAGAGAGGTGACTTTGCCTCTCTGAGCCTCGATTTCTTCATCTGGAAAGTGGGGTTAATGCCACCCCCTGAAAGGGCTGGGTGAGGTGAGCCTGTTCAGGGCTAGGCTCTGGGAGGCTCTAATTTGGGGAATGTGAGGAGGAAGAGGAGGCAGAGGCAGGGAAAGTGGGGAGAGGTCGGAGGAAGCCAGGAGCAGCTGGCACCCAGGTCGGGAGCCGCCCGCCCCCATCCGCCCAGCCCTGCGTGAGAAACCCAAGCCCTGTTGCATAATTGATGGCTGCCAAGCAGAAGCAGCCTGACTAGCAGCCTATCGGTGGCCGCCTCCTGCTCCTGTCCTCGGCCTCTGGATGATTCATCACTGCCAAGTAGTCTGGAAAGAGCCTCCAGACCCCCAGCCTGTGATGACCGTGACTCCAGCACAGTCTGCCCCTTGCTCAGCCTCAGTGGCATCGTCTGTGAAATGGGAAGCTTGACCCACCGGCCCTGGAGGGCTGTTGGCGGGTCGGTGGGTCGGTGGTGTAGACCGCATAGCACAGGGTGGCGCCCTGGGTGCGGTCAGCAGGATCTGTTGTTACTCGCTTCTTCGGGCAGGTCTTCTCACTTTCTCTGTTTGGCTGCGACCTTGAGCAGGCTCCTTCCCCTGGCTGGAGAAGGCCTTCCAGACCGGAGGGGCCAGGACTTGGGCAGGTTTCTAGTTGTTCCTAGGTGGCCCACCTGGCTTCTTCCAGCTCTGATGGGAGACCCGTGTAACATCCTGGCCCCTGCCTGGCTTTGGGGCGGGGCTGCCGAGCTTTCTGGGGTCTGGGTGTGCCCAGAGTTGGATCTGATGGGCTGGCGGTGTTCCCTGCCTGTCACACCAGGCCACCAGAGGCCAGCCATGTGCCCTGGCCTTCATGTCTTACCCACATCTTTCTTACTGCATCCTCACAACCTATGAGGGAGGTGCTATTACTTATTATCCCCATTTTTCAGCTCAGGAAACTGATGCTCAGAGAGGCAAAGCCACTTGCCCAAGGTCACCCAGCCCATCATTGACTTGAATCAGGGCTCTCTGATTCAGGAACCTGGTTCCTTCCACTCATTCCCCTGGCACCCCCTCCCCAGCGGCCCCCAGCCCCCTTGGGGCCTCCTGATAACCCCAGACCTTACCTGTGCCCTGTTTGTTCCCTGAGCACTTGCGACCAAGCGCTTTCCTTCAGAGTCAGGCTCGGAGGACCCTTAGCGGTGGGCTCCCAACAGTTCCTTACCCCTCTAAGTCCTGTGCCAGATTTTGTATAAGTGTGTGTTTCTGTGGGGAGGGAGTCTATAGCTTTCATTGGATTTCCAAAAGAAGCCACAATCCCCAAACTCTGGTCCAACCACGTCATTTCACAGAGGGGTAAACTGAGGCCCAGAGCAAGTTGTAACTTAAGCAGGTTGGGGACAGAGCACGTTTGCTGACCTTGGGGCCTGGGTTCCAGCTGAGGGGGAGGGGTAGGTGAGTGGGGCGGTGGGGCGTCCTCTCTTCCCCCTTCTGAGCCCTCCCCTCACAGTTCACAGAGGAAAAATTCGGCCAGGCCGAGAAGACTGAGCTTGATGCCAACTTTGAAAACCTTCTGGCCCGGGCAGACAGCACCAAGAACTGGACAGAGAAAATCCTGCGGCAGACGGAGGTGCTCCTGCAGCCCAACCCCAGTGAGTGGATGTGGGGCTGGTCCTGGGGCGAGGGGTGGGAGGCCTGGGCTGCCGAGGCCTGGCAGGTGGGGCAGTGGGGCTGGGTGGCAGGCAGGTTTGGGTCAGACCCTTGGGGCCTAAGGCTGCCATGGGGGGTCTCAGTTAAAGAAAACAGCAGACTCCGTGTTGGGCTCCAAGACGCTCTCTCTGGGGCAATGGGAATGCTAAGTTTTGCACAGAGGAGTTGAAGAAATGCCTGGAAACCAAAACACTTGGGAGGAGAGGCAGGAAGAACACAAGCCGGGTCATTTGAGAGGAGCAGCGAGGTCAGAGGTGGAAGAGGGCTTGCCCAGAGTCACACCGTGAGCACAGAGACGCAGAACTGCCGGAGAACCTATGAGAACAGAGGGGGTGACTTGGGGTCGAGATGCATGTCTGCCTGTAAGTCTGCTGTGTAGCTAACTGAGTGGCTGAGAGCTTTCTGGGGCCAGAGCCAGGGCGTTGTCATCTGTGTGTTATGTTCTCTAAATCATATTGTAATGAGGGAGAAGTGGGCTGGCCTTGACTTCGGCCCGTCACCCCCAGCTGTGTGACCCCAGTTATATCTCTGAGCCGTGGTTTCCTCCTCTCTAGAGTGAGGGGTTCCACAGGGTTGAGTACCAGTCTCAAGGGTTGAAGTGGGCGTCAGCGAGAAAATGTTCTGGAAGTCAACAGGCTGGGTGCTCCTGAGGGCAGGCCCTGATCTGGGTCTGTTTCTATTGCCCGGGGTTTGATCCTTGGGCTTATACCAAAGAGCCCTGTGGCTTTGGCTGCTGTTTCCCCACAGGTGCCCGAGTGGAGGAGTTCCTGTACGAGAAGCTGGACAGGAAGGTGCCCTCGAGGGTCACCAATGGGGAGCTGCTGGCTCAGTACATGGCGGAGGCGGCGAGTGAGCTGGGGCCCACCACTCCCTATGGTGAGCCGGGCCCCACAGCTGGGGTCGGGGTCAGGGTCTCTCACGCTCTAATTTTTCTCCCTCCCTCCCTTCCTTCCTTCCTTTGTTGTTTTTTTTTTTTTTTTTTTTTTTTATTTATTTTTTTCCCCCAAAGCCCCAGTAGATAGTTGTATGTCATAGTTGCACATCCTTCTAGTTGCTGTATGTGGGACACAGCCTCAGCATGGCCAGAGAAGCGGTGCATCAGTGCACACCCGGGATCCGAACCCGAACCCGGGCCGCCAGCAGCCGAGCCCATGCACTTAACCGCTAAGCCACGGGGCCGGCCCTCTTTGTTGTTTTTAATTACACAAATTCATTCTACTTGTAAAAACTTCAGTCAGTGGAGGTGAAAATAAAGTAAAAAATGGAAGCCTCTCTTCCCCAGTTTGGTTTGCGGGCCTTTTTTAATGGGATCATACTGTATGTACTATTCTGCAACCTGATTTTTAAACTTGGCCTTGCATTACACATATCTGTTCCCAGTAGCGCTAATAGAGCCACCTCAATCTTTATTTTTTATTTTTTGAGTTTTACTTTAAAACGCACCTGTTTTAAGTGTGTGATTCAATGATTTTTAGTAAATTTAGAGTTGTACAAACATCCCCCCAATCCAATTTATAATTTTATTTATTTATTTATTTTTCCCCCAAAGCCCCAGTAGATAGTTGTATGTCATAGCTGCACATCCTTCTAGTTGCTGTACGTGGGATGCGGCCTCAGCATGGCCGGAGAAGCGGTGCGTCGGTGCGCGCCCGGGATCCAAACCCCGGGCCGCCAGCAGCGGAGCGTGCGCACTTAACCACTAAGCCACGGGGCCAGCCCCCCAATCCAATTTAAAGAACATTTCCATCACCCGTAAAAAGTCCCTTGTGTCTACTTACAGTCAGTCCCCACTCCCACCCCCAGCCAACCACTCATGTGCTTTTGTCTCTATAAATTTGCCTTTTCTAAATATTTCATATGCATGGAATCATACAATAATTGTTTTTTCCATCTGGCTCCTTTCACCTAGCATAATGTCATTGAGGTTCATCCATGTTGTAGCGTGTTTTAGGATTTCCTTCCTTTCTGTTGCTGGATAGCATTCCGTTGTGTGGATGGACCACATTTTCTTTATCCATTCATCATTAGATAGATATTTGCATACGTACCTTTGTGTGGACGTGTGTTTTCACTTCTCCTGAGTAGATACCTAGGAGTGGAATTGGCTGGCTCATATGGTAAATTTATGTTTAATGTTTTAAGAAATTACCAAACTGTTTTCCAAAGTGGCTCTGTGATTTTACATTCCCACCAGCAGGATGGTGTTTAATTTCCAGATATTTGTGGATTTTCCAAGTTTCCTTCTGTTGTTGATTTCTAATTTAATTTCACTGTGGTTGGAGAACATGCTCTGTATGATTTTCTTTCTTTTAAATTTATTAAGACTTGTTTATGGCCAAGTATGTGGTCTCTCCTGGAGAATGTTTCATGTTCACTTGAGAAGACTGTATATTGTGTTGTAGGGTAGAGTGTTCTTAGTTAGGCCAAATTGGTTGATAGTGGTGTTCAAATCTTCTGTATCCTTGCAGATTTCGTGTTGTTGTCCGATCCATTATTGAGCGAACTGAAGTCTCCAATTATTTCTGTTGAAGTCTATTTCTGTCTTCATTCTGCAGTGTTTGCTTCATATATTTTGGGATTCTGTTGTTAGGTCTGTATGTTTACAATTGTTTATCTTCCTGATGAATTGACTCTTTTATCCTTGTAAAATACTGCTTTTTGTCTCTAGTACCTTTTTTTTTGTCTTAAAGTCTATTTTATCTAATGGTAATACAATTGCTCATGTTCTCTTATGGTTACTGTTTGTATGGTATACTTTTTTCTATCCTTTTATTTTCAACTTATTTATGCCTTTAAATCTAAAGTTTGTCTCTTATAGACAGCATATATTTGGATCTTTTTCAAAAATCCAGTCTGACAATATTCGCCTTTTGATTGGTGTGTTTAATCCATTTACATTTAATTTAATTATTGATGTAGTTGACTTTATATATACCATTTTGTTATTGTTTTCTGTGTTGCAGGTCATTTTTGTTTCTGTTCCTCCTTTACTGCCTTCTTTTGTGTTAAATAGATACTGTATTACCTAGTGTAACATTCTAATTTCTTTGTCGCTTTTTTTTTTTACTTTAAAAAAATTCTCTTAGTGGTTTTGCAATATGAATTACAATATGCATTTTAGCTTATCACAGTCTACTTCAGAGTAATACTAACTTAATTCCAGTAAAATATAGAAACTTTGCTCCATTATAATTCCATTCTCTCCCACTTCCTTTGTGTTGTTATTGTCCTGCATACTGCATCTCTATATCTTATAAGCCCAACAATATAGTTTTCATAATTATTTTATACAATTGTCTTTTAGATCAGTTGAGAAAAGAAAAAGAAATTTATATTGTCTGTTACATTTGCCTCTATAATTACCTTTGCTGGTGCTCTTTCTTTCTTTATGTGGATGCATGTTACCATCTGACGTCACTCCCTTTGAACCTGAAGTCTCTCTTCTATGGCAGGTCTGCTAGCAATGAATTCTTTCAGTCTTTCTTATCTAGGAATGTCTTCATTTTGTGTTTACTTTTGGAGGACAGTTTTAGGTGTACAAAATTCTTGGATGAGAGTTTTTTCCTTTCATCACTTTGAATATATCATTTCACTGCTGTCTGGCCTCCATTGTTTCTGATGAGAAGTCATTTGTTAATCTTATTATGGCTCCCTTATATGTGATAAGTTGCTTTTCTCTTGCTATTTTCAAGACTTTTTGTCTTTGTCTTTCAACAGATTGACTATGATGTCCTGGCTGTGGATCTCTTTGTGTTTATTCTATTTTGAGTTTGTTTAGTTTCTTGGATATGTAGATTAATGTTTTTCATCGAATTCAGGACATTTTTGGCTGTTATTTTTTCAAATATTTTTTCTGCCCCTTTCTCTCCTCTTCTTCTGGGACTCCCATTACTCATATGTTGGTTTGTTTGATGGTGTCCCTTAGGTCTCTGAGGCTCTGTTCATTTTTATTCATTTGTTTTTCTTTCTGATCTTCAGATCAGATAATCTCTATTGATTTATCTTCAAAATTGCTGATTTTTCCTTCTGCCAACTCAAATCTGCTCTTGAGCCCTTCTAGTGAATTTTTCGTATCAATTATTATACTTTTCAACTCTAGAATTTTCATTTCTTTTTTATAATTTTTATCTCTTTATTAATATTCTTTATTTGATGAGTCATCATCATCATACTTTCCTTTAAATCTTTAAACATAGTCTCTATTAGTTTTTTTTAAAAACATATTTGTAGTAGCTGCTCAGAAGTCTTGTCTGCTAAGTCTAACATCTGGGCCTCCTTGGAGACAGTGTCTATTTTTTTTTTCCTCCCCAAAGCCCCAGTGCATGGTTGTATATCCTAGTTATAAGTCCTTCTAGTTCTTCTGTGTGAGCTGCTGCCACAGCATGGCAACTGACAGACGGGTGGTGTGGTTCTGTGACCAGGAAATGAACCTGGGCCACCAAAGCAGTGAGAGCACTGAACTTTAACTACTAGACCATCAGGGCTGGCTCAGAGACAGTGTCTATTGATTGCTTCTTTTTCCTGTGTAGCAACCATACTTGCTTATTTCTTTGCATGTCTCATAATTTTTGTTGAAATCTGGACATTTTAGATAATATATTATAGCAGCTCTGGATTCTGATCCCCCTGGGAGTTATTATTGCTGTCTGTTTGTTTAGAGACTTCCTGAGCTAATTGTTTAGAGTCTCTGTCCCCCGCAGTATGCAGCTACTGGTGTTTCTGCTTTTTTTTTTCTTTTTAAATTATTCTTTTTATTTTTAAGCCTAGCTTCCTGGAGGTTGCTCCTAGGTCAGCATATGTTAATGATCAGTCAGCAGTTGGTCAGAGGTTGTGCTTAATGCCTTGCACCATTAAGACTTTACTTATAAATTTGTGAGTGGGCTGGGGAACACATTCAAAGTTTCAGCAGCTTACAAGTCTGCCCAGCTTTTTGTTTGTTTGTTTGTTTGTGAGGAAGATCAGCCCTGAGCTAACAACCATGCCAGTCCTCCTCTTTTTGCTGAGGAAGACCAGCCCTGAGCTAACATCCATGCCCATCTTCCCCCACTTTATGTGGGATGCTGCCACAGCACGGCCTGACAAGTGGCGCATCGGTGCGCGCCGGGGATCCGAACCCGGGCGGGTGGGTTTTTCTGTGTTCCAGCCCAAATCAAGCCAGCCTCTTCCAGCAGCAGAGCTGCCAGCCTCGGGCTTGCCCCACCCTGGTACAGCTACAGCACCACAGAGCCTGGGGAGATGGGAACACCCTCAAGGCTGAAAAGCCACAGACGGCATTGTTCTTACCAAGGTCCAGCAGTTCTTGAATGAATGCTTCTCAATTTGTTGTTTGCTTTTGATCAATTTCCAGAGTCTGGAAATGGTTGTTTTTGATAGCTGTGTCCAGTTTTTTGTTTTGTTTTTTTGTGTGTGTGAGGAAGACCAGCCCTGAGCTAACATCCGATGCCAATCCTCCTCTTTTTGCCGAGGAAGATTGGCCCTGGGCTAACATCTGTGCCCATCTTCCTCTACTTTATATGGGATGCCACCACAGCATGGCTTGACAAGCAGTGTGTCATTGCGCGCCCAGGATCCAAACCTGCAAACCCCAGGCTCCCAAAGCAGAGCATGCGCACTTAAATGCTGCACCACCAGGTTGGCCCCTGTGTCCAGTTTTTTTTTTTTTTTTTTAGGAAGATCAGCCCTGAGCTAACATCCATGCTAATCCTCCTCTTTTTGCTGAGGAAGACCGGCTCTGAGCTAACATCTATTGCCAATCCTCCTCCTTTTTTGTCCCCCCAAAGCCCCAGTAGATAGTTGTATGTCATAGTTGCACATCCTTCTAGTTGCTGTATGTGGAACTCGGCCTCAGCATAGCCGGAGAAGTGGTGCGTGGGTGCGCGCCCGGGATCCGAACCTGGGCTGCCAGTAGCGGAGTGTGCGCACTTAACCACTAAGCCACGGGGCCAGCCCCTGTGTCCAGTTTTATTATTGCTTTTTGGGGAGAGGATTTGTTGATCCTTTCACTGTCATTCCAGAAGTATCACCACCCCTTAGTCTTTTCAGTGGCTGTGTAGTATTCCATTTTTTGGATGTCCCACTAATTGTTTGTAAGTCCCCAGTTGAGGGATATGTAGATTGCGTCCACATTTTTCCAGGCCAGCCATTCTGCGCTCAACGTCTTTCCTGTTGCCTCCTCAGCACGTCTCTTTCCGAGTTCTCCCCTACTTCCTGGGGGTCAGAGCAGCCTGAGCCTGACCCTCTTCCTCACCCTTCACCTCTGTGTTCTCAGGGAAGACGCTGACCAGGGTGGCAGAAGCCGAGAAGCACCTGGGAGCCGCAGAGAGGGATTTCATCCACACAGCCTCCATCAACTTCCTCACGCCCCTGCGCAACTTCCTGGAAGGGGACTGGAAGACGATTTCGGTGAGGGACCTGGGACATTCCGCTTCCTGGTAACCATGGCAGCCCTCTCCTTAGAGCTGCTGAGCACAAGCTCTCCTCTCATGCTGGGAACCCCGCATTGCGGGGACCCCCCAGACGTGGTTCTGCGGACTGAGGGACCTGGAGTGGATGACTTCCCCTGCCTGGGCCTCAGTTTCCCTGTCTTGACCAGATGGCCCTGTGGGCCCGTCCTTCCACGGCCGAGGGTCTCCCAGGGCTGCCCAGGGTCTCACTGCTTTCTGCTCCCCACCCCACAGAAGGAGAGGCGGCTCCTCCAAAACCGACGTCTGGACTTGGATGCCTGCAAAGCGCGGCTGAAGAAGGCCAAGGCCGCAGAAGCCAAAGCCACGGTAGGTGTCCCTGCTGGCCTCCCGCCCCTCCCAACTCTGGTTGGAGCCAGGGGGTGGGTGTGAAGGGACCTGGTGTTTGGCATGAGCTCTCTCCCCTGTCCCTGCCTGGAGAGGCCTGGCTGCAGGGCGCTGGTCTGGGCTGGCCACTTCAGGTCACGCCTCTCTGTCCCCACCCCCAAGGAACCCTGGTGGCCCAGAGCTCTGGGTCCCATGGCAGACATTTGTGGGGCGGGCCGACCAGCAGTGCCCCAATCTGGGCTCAGGGCACCCCACAGCCTCCCCAGACAGGCAGCCAGTGGGAGTTTCTCGCATGCCCCTGCCCTGCCCTCCCTGGATGCTGGCTCTGTTCCTGGCTCTGCCCGGGCATTGCTCCCCTTTACTAACTCCCCACCTGCTGCTCCCGTGCTGGTCCCAGGGCACCTTGTGCTCAGGCTCATCCGCCATGGTGTGGAGAAGCCGGAGCTGTACTGCCTGCCTGCTCAGGGGCATGTCTGAGGGGCCCTTTCAGACTGGATAAGGCCTGGGTGATCTCGGCTCCCCATTCACCCTCAGCCCACTGAGGCCTTTTGGGCCTGGCTGGGCCAGTGGGACACAGCATGGGACAATTTGACCAGGGCTAGGCCAGGATTGGGAGAGCTGGGCCTGAGGGTGAGCACACTCCTGGCATGCCAGGCTGCTCCGGGGTCTAGGGGCCTAAAGGCCACCTCACACCCTGAGGAGGGAATTACCAGGTCCAGGGCATGCCAGAGAAACTGCCACCTGTGCCTGCCCAGGCTCTCGGCCGAGAAGGCCAGGCCCAGCCCAGGCTCCCAGCTGCCCATAAGAGTTCCGGCCCCAAACCCTCCTTGCATTCCCCTCCCACAGTGTGGCCACCTGGGGCCATGGAGCCTGGGCCTGCACTGCCTCTGGCAAGAGCCGTGGGCAGGATCTCAGCTCATCCAGGTGTGTGGGGTCCAGATTGGAGGCAGGGGCTCAGCCACTGGAGTCTTGTTGGGGTTGGGTAGGATGACCTATGGCTATTGGGATGACCTCTCTAAGTTACCTGGACAGGACAATCTCCCTATTACTCAGGGCTGGACAACCTCTTTGGAGTAACTTAGCCAGAACAAACTCTTCCTCCATCAGCCAGGCCAGGGGAGCCTTTCCTTAGTCACTGGAATGGCACAACCTTTTCTCCAACTGGTTGGCCTGGACAACCTCAAGCCCTTGGGTTACGTCCGGACACCCTCTCCAAAGCTAGGACCTGGGCAGCCCAGGTACAGCATCCCAGAGAACTCAGGCCCAGCGGTTGGTTCCCTCATCCCCATCCCTCTAAACTCATGTGCTGTGCACACACAGATCAGGACTCCTTCCAGAGGGTGGGGCTGTGTGCGTCCCTTCGCCCGTCCGCCTAGCGTCCCCTCCTGCTGGGGCCTGGGGGGCCTGCTCCCGCCTGTGCTGTGGACTCACTAACTCTCTGTTTTTGTTCCTTCCCGTTCTGCTTTGGGTAACTTGCTCAGTGTGAGGGAGATGTGAGTATACCTGTCCGCGTGCTGTGCTGCTTCGGGCTTGCCCATCGCGGCCTTGGGCCCGCAGTGCCATGGCCGGCCCAGGGGACGTCCTTGGGCGTTTTGCAAGCAGCTGGTCTCCCCACCAGAGCTTCTACCATGTGAAGCCTCTGGTTTGGGGGGACACCAGGCATTGGAGCCTGTGAGTCAGCTTTTTGCAAATGTTGAAAGCCTGTCACTCTGTCCATCCATGCATCCATCTGTCCACCCTTGTTGTAGGGGAGGGGCCTGGTCCTTGCTGCAGGAGTGAGAGATGTGGTGTGCAGAGATTCTGGGATGGAGAAAGCGGGGGGGGGGGGCGTGCTGTTTTTTGGAGGACCGTGGGTCTAAATGGGGCATCTGAGTGAGACTGGGGTCCAGGGAGGATGGGCCATAACCCCTGGGCCAGGCGCTGGCCCGTCTGTGGCTTGCCCAGAGGCAAGTGCTGTGACAGCAGCTGCAGGCTGTCTCCTCGTCGCATCTGCTCTCCGGGCCTACCCAGCGTGTCCACCCACTTGGTCTTTGTCTCGACTCTGCGTCCCTAAGCCCACCTCCTCTCCAGGTGGTCGGCACGGGGAGAAGGGGGTCCGTATTGTATTTGTCTGTAGCCTCCTGTCCCTGGGGCTGGGGCTCCTGGCATCTCCCTGTGGGAGACTCTGGGGCAGCCTCCTAGCCCTGGCCTCAGCCCCGCGTGACCCGCCTCTCCCCATGAACTCTGTTCCCCGCCAGACGGTGCCTGACTTTCAGGAGACTAGACCTCGTAATTACATTCTCTCGGCCAGCGCCTCCGCGGTAAGCGCACCCCCCCATCCCTGGGCTCTCCCCCCACCCCCTCCCACAGCAAACAGGAGCCAGAGGGTAAGGCAGGGCATTGCCCACCTGGCTGGGCGAGTCCCGAGAGGCTGGGGGAAGGCAGCAGCCCCACCTCTATCCACCCGCCTGTCCCCTGTGCCCCGTGACCATGTTGCTGGCCTCCCTTCTCCCTGCAAAATGCTGAAGGTGGAGGCGGGCCAGCTGTGCTGAATGGCACGGTGAACTGAGGATGGCAGCTGTCCCATCCCCAGGGGACCTGAGCGTCTGCCTGCCCCATCCACAGCCCTGATCCCTCCCAAAACAGATACTCCTCCCCAGCCTCGCTCACCATTGTGACCGCCAGGCCCTCGTGGCCCCGAGCAGAGAGAGGCTGGGCCTGGCCTTCTACGCGTTCACAGACCCTTAAAGACAGGTGGCCAGGATGGCACTGTTCACCCAGCTGCCTTCACGGCACATCTGCGAGGTGTTGTGGGAGCACCAGGAGGCCTTGAGAATGCGCGGGGGCGGGGGGGGCAGGGCATTGCGGGTGGAAGCAGCAGCTTGTGCTGAGGCCCAGAGGTTCCAGAGCAGGGGTGTCCTGAGAGGGACCGGAGCCGAGCATGTGGGGTGGGGCGGGGGCCAGGGCAGTTGTGGGGACAGGAGGTGGGCAGGGCTGGCTCGTGAAGACTTTGAACATCTTGGTATCTTTTTTTTCTACAGCTCTGTTGAGATATTTGGTATTTACTGTTTAGTTTGGGAAGTAGGCAAATCACGTCAATCCCATCGTGCCCATCACAGCCACTGCTCTGCCTTTTTCTGGCTCTTGTCACCTCTGTCATAAGCATGTTGCCGGTGTATTCGTGCAGTCATTCAATGGCTGGACCATCGTCCCTCGGGGGCGCCAACCTCAGCTTAGTCACCAGGCCCCCATTGCTGGGTCCCCTATGTCTGTACATGTGGAGGTCGCTTCCCGTGTTGGGAGGCACCGTGGCAAGACATCTCTGTCCGCAGGGCCGGCCTGTTTCTGTATGTCAGTTACTGTCTTAGGGAGCTTTCCTGCAGTGGGCGGGAGAAATGGGTCTCCTAAGTCGTGGCGGGGGGAGGGGGGTCTTTCTTCTTTAGACTCTGGATGACACTTCCTGTCCCCCTTCCTGGGCCGAGTGGAAGGAGAAATATCCTGGAGGGTGGAGACTGCCCTGTTTTTTTCTTTTGCCATTGAACCCCAGTGTGACTCGGGCACGAGGCTGCCTTTCTCTGCCGAAGGACAGAAAGGTTGTGCCTGGCCCAGGGCCACACGGTCCTGCCTCCCAGCCCACCAGCCTTAGCCAAGCGTCAGGGTGGGGTGGGGGACGCTCGGTCTCCCTTGAGACCCCAGTCAGAGCCTGGGGGCTTACACTATAGGAGAAACCGAAGCAGGACTTCCCAGCTGGCTGTCCCCCTCCCTGCATGTGGCATGTTGGACTGGACTGTGGTGGTCAGCACCCCTTCTCACACCAGGCCTCATCCCAGCCTCAGCTCCTGGGTGGGTTGCGGGGAGGCAGTGCGGAAGGGTGTGGGTGGGAAGAGGTTAGGGTCTCGGCGAGCTGGGGCAGGGCTCTGGGGTTCAGCCATCCCCCCTCCCCGTCCCGTCCCTCCCCTGCTGACCAGTACCCCCCTCCCTCCCTGCCCTGCTGACCGGTCCTGTTGTGGTCTCCACAGCTCTGGAACGATGAGGTGGACAAGGTGAGTCGGGGCTTGGGGGTGGATCCAAGCACACATGCTGCTGCAGGGTCAAGTGTGGTTCTGGTTCTGGGCTCCGCCCCACGCCCCTGGTCATTGTAGGGGGTGTCACTTCCCCTCCACATGCCTCGAGGCACACAGTGGGCCCCCGGGAGGCAATTGTTGGCTGGATATTCCCCTGATAGGTGGTGATGTCAGATGGGTGAATGAGTGACCCATGGCAGTCCCCGAGGGTCTGTCTCTGTGACTGCTCGTCACAGAACCGGCCCATGGGGGTCCAAGTGGGGCTCTAGCTCCTCCAGGGGTCCGGGCTCCAGGTCTGAAGTCAGGGGTGGCAAGTGCATGCCTCCCACCCAGCTGTCTGTCTCTGCATCCCCAGGGGCAGTGAGGGGCCCAGGAGAAGGCTGACGGGAGGGCGGCAGGGGGCGCGTCTCGCTCTCACACTCTCACACCTTGCCCTTCCCAGGCTGAGCAGGAGCTCCGAGTGGCCCAGACAGAGTTTGACCGGCAGGCCGAAGTGACCCGTCTCCTGCTGGAGGGAATCAGTAGCACTCACGTGAGTCCTGCCCCCGCTTCCTCCTTCCGTCATCCCGTCTTCTGCCCACCCTCCCCGCCCCATGTCCCCACTAAAGTCCCTGATGAGGCAGTGAATGAACCTGGATCCCGAAAATGAACCTGGATCTCGGAAGCAGGCAGGGAAGGGCAGTGCTTGAGCCCGTGGTCAGTAAGGTGGAATTCAGCCTGACGGAGCAAGTCCCAAAGGGTGGGTGCCTCTCTCCTCCCCCAAGGAGCAAGAGGCTTGGGGCAGATGACATGGGAACACTGGGCCACGGTCTAGCAGAGGCCGGGGTGGGGAATGGAACATTTTGTCCCCTGAGACGCCTCACATTCCTGTCAGCAAGGGGCCTCTTCCCCACAGGTGAACCACCTCCGCTGCCTCCATGAGTTCGTCGAGTCTCAGACAACTTACTATGCACAGTGCTACCGCCACATGCTGGACTTACAGAAACAGCTGGGCAGGTGCCCACTGGGGTCCCCTGGCTCCCAGACCCAATGAGCAGCCCGACCTCCCCTGGGCGAGAACCTTCTCCCTGAGCTCAGAGAGCCCGACGACACACTGGGTGGGACAGAGGGCTGCCAACTGGGCCCGGGCACCCCATCAGGATGACAGTGAGGTGGCTGGCCTTGGGGAGCTCTGAGAGTGGTTTCTTGAGAGTGCGTGGGCAGGGAGGATGGCAGGGGCCGGACGGGGCAGGAGATCTCACTTTTCCCTTTGTTTCACTCTGCCTTACATGCTGCCAGCTCCCAGGGAGCCATGTGAGTAGCTGGGGGTCTCTTTGCCTCTGTGGCAGTGGGCTCAGCTGGTGTTTTGTGGGGCACCTGGCACTCCCACGGGGAGATGGCTCCTGGCTGCTGAGATGTGTCCCCCCCCTCCAGATTTCCAGGCACCTTCGTGGGCACCACAGAGCCCGCCTCCCCGCCCCTCAGCAGCACCTCGCCCACCACCACCGTGGCCACCATGCCTGTGGGGCCCTCTGTGGCTGGCCTGGCCCCTGCGGGGGAGGCCGCTCTCTGCCTGGAGGAGGTGGCCCCACCTGCCAGTGGAACCCGGAAGGCCCGGGTACTCTATGACTACGAGGCAGCTGACAGCAGTGAGCTGGCCCTGCTGGCTGATGAGGTAGGCCTGGGTGCCACAGGATGGCGGGAAAGGGCTGGCTTAGGAGCACCCCGGAACCGGAACTGGGAGTATTGGGCCTGCAGACCTACACCACTGTCTTCGAGTCTCTGAGGGGCCCTGAGGGTAGAGCTAGGACCAGGGGGGTAAGTGGAGGCAGCTGCAGCTCCAAGGAAGCGACCTCTAGCGTGCTGTGTCCGTAGAGCAGACGAGGAGGTGAATGCCCGCCGCTGGAGGTGTAGGTGCCCCTGTATCGGGGAGATCGCAGCTCTGTCCCCACCTAGCCCTGGGGCCAGTTCTGCCCTCGCCAGGGCGTGACCTCCCCTCTTTGCCCTCCTCTTCAGCTCATCACTGTCTACAGCCTGCCTGGCATGGACCCTGACTGGCTCATTGGCGAGAGAGGCAACAAAAAGGGCAAGGTCCCTGTCACCTACTTGGAACTACTCAGCTAAGCAGGCCCCCTCCCAGGCGCCTGCCCATTCTGGCCTGGGCAGAGAGGATGGGTGCAGCCCTGCCACTTGTCTGTTGGTGACCCAGCTGCTCAGGGTGGGGAGACTAACCCCATCCTGTCCTTGCCCCTGGTCATCCAGCTGGGAGGGGGCCTCAGAGGCTAAATGATCCCAGCCCCTCTCTCAGCCCTGCTTCTGACCTGGTTCTGGAGCCCCAAGCCTGCCTGCATCCCCTGAGCATCCCAGTTCTCCCGGCTCCTACGCAGGAGGGCGGGGCTGGCCGCAGCAGCTGTTTTTGCCTTGGCCCGGGTAGGGGTCAGCGCCGATGGCCTGAGGAAGCCCCGGGCTGCGCCCTTGGCAAGAGAGCACCTGCCTTTTAGATGCCAAAAGCAGCAAAGGGGGGAAGGCAGGCAGGTGTGTGGCCAGGTGCCGTCCCCTCAGGACGATCTGGAGCGTAGGGGAGCCTGGCCAGAGAGGCGGGGCTGGGCCACGGAGCAGCATCTCCCCGGCACTGCCCTTTTTCTCCCACCCCACCGCTCAAGCCTGCACCTGTCCACACTCACTTTTTAACTGATCTTTTTACTCTGCCTGTCTGCTTGCTCTCTAGCCAGTGATGAATAAACCATCCTTCATGTGCATGTGGCCTGGGCTCCTGTCTGGGGCGCGGACCTCACAGGGCTGGCGCTGAGGGCGGGAGAGGGAAGAGAAGACTTCACCTTGCACCATGCCTCCTCCTGGGGCAGGGGAGCAGTGCCCTCGGCCCCCTCCCACAAGCACTGGGGCAGAGGGCAGAGGGAGCGGCAAGTTCTCTGAAGCAGGCAGTGCATTCTCCACAGCCCTCCCTCTCTCCCACAGAGCCCGAGCTGCTCCGACGGAGTTAGTACTGTTCCTGTACATGAAGCTGTGTAATAGACATTTTATTCCCAAGCAAAACTTTCCTAAATCTGGGCAGAGTGGAGTTGACTGTAAAATCTGCATGGGGGTTTAGGCTCAAGTAGTTGGCGGCCATCAGTGTGTCCTGTGGGCCTGGCATTGAGCCAGCTGCGTTCACATGTACCCTTTATGTCGTCCTCACAGATGAGGGAAGAGATCAGAAAGACAGTCACTCCCTCAAGGTTCCATAACTGGCAAGTGACCACACACGGACCCTAGCCCAGGTCAGTCTGATTCTAGAAACTCCCAGTGGTGGCTTTGGGCTACAAGCCAGGTTTTAGATTAAGGCCTTTGGGCTGAGCCCAGCACTCTGTCATTGAGTCCTGAGGCCAAAGGCTGGTAGGCCCCATGGCTGGGGCTTCTGACAGGAGGAGGAGTGGGAGGGGAGGCAGGGGCACAGAGCTATAAATAAGAAGGAGCAGTTTCAGGAAAGGCTACACCTAGCAGTAAGCCCAGCCAGCTGGTAGACAGAAGTGTGTGGCAGGGGGACGAGACCTGGGCAGGCCAAGGGAGGGATAATTTGACAGTGTCCACCCAGCACCCCCGCCCCGATCCCCAGAACATTAACAGGAGGGATGAGAGTGAGTCAGCCATCAGTAAATACCCTGCCTTCCCCAAAGCTCTGCTCCACTCCCGGGGCCCTGGCCAAGGAAGACTTGTTTGATGCTCTGAGAGTTGGTCATTCCTGGGCTCTGAAGGCACACGTCACGCAGCTGTCTATAAACAGTATTTTAATATTTGTATAAATAGACCACAGTATTACCAAAAAACTGCAAGAACAGAGCATGGAAAATAGACCCCTGCGTACAGCCTCTCCTGGCTGCACGTGCCACTGGCTCCCCCACCCCTCCCCTGGGCCGGGCTCAAGTGCTGTGGGGAATGCAGGAAGGGAAGAAATACACCTCTTTGGGGCATTCTGAACGTGAGTGTGAGAGCGCGGCAGACTTGTGGCTCCCTGCCCCTGCTGTTGACCTCTTGATCTATTACAAAAATAATGCCAGTGGGTGGGTGGTTGGAGTCGTGGCTGCTTTGGGGAAAGGGTGACAGGAGCTGGTCTCAGTCCCAGGTGGGCCCCATCAGGGCTGCTGTGCAGGCTGGTGGAGAGTGGTAGGCGGGTGGCATGCCACTGCCCTATCTCTGCACATGTCTGACAAAGGCCTGCACCAGCTGGATCAGAGGCTCCTGACTCTCGGGGCTGGCCTTGGATAGAGAGGTGGACTTGCCCTGAGGCGAGGGGAGGACACCAGCAGCAGGGGAGCTGGGGGCTCCTCGGCGAAAGTAGCGCGAGAGGCTGGAAAGCAGTGTGCTCTAGGAGAGAAAAAGCAGCTTGATGAGGTCCCCGCATCCCCCTACCCTCAGGAGCGGGACCCCAAGAGGCTCTTCCCCACGGGCCCTGCCCCCTCCAGTGCGTACCAACTCTGAGCTGAGCTCCTGCTTCATCCGCTGTTTGTCCCGGGGGTGCACAGCCGGGTCCCTAAGGTAGCGCATTGCCTGGGAGATGAGCAGGTAGAAGCAGTTTTCCATGGTAAACATCAGGAGGGACCTGGGAGAAGAGCAGGTTTTTGACACTGTGGTAGAGGGCCAAGCTAGGAGGCGCGAGGTGGGCCACTGAGTCAAGAGAATAGCTGGCCCATGACCGCCCCAACCCTAGACCAATTCCAGAAGGAGGGCTTTCTTACTTCACTGTTCTGGTCCCTTCTGCCTGTGTGCTGAGCCCCACAGCCTGGGTGAGGGGCTCCTTTTTCTTGTCCAGCTGGAGGAAGAGAAACAAGAGGTAAAAAATAAGGTAACAGTAGCAGCTCTGACTCACTGAAAGCTTCCTATTGGTAGGGCCTGTGCTAGGCAATTTTTATCAGTTACCTCATTTAATCCTCACAGTAATCCTCACGGGTAGGCTCTCATACTAATTTTATGAAGAACAGGCTCGGGAAGGCTACATAAACATGCCCCAGGTCATGGTTAGGAAGTGGGAGACTGGGAGGAAGACTTGGGTTGAGTGGCCAGACAGCACCCAGCTCACCTCTCCAAGCATATTCAGGGCCACATTGACTGTGGCCAGCAGGGTCCCGAAGGAGGGGGCCACTTCAGAGTCAAAGGTGGGGGTGGTAAAGCTCAGGGCAAACAGGAAGTTGTATTCAGCAAGGTCCAGGGACTGCAAGGCAAGACGAGAGCAGTCCAGGGCCCAGCTAGGACCTCAGACAGCTCTTAAGTGCAGAGCAGAGCAGAGCAAAGCCTTCATGGCTCAGTGCTGGGAGGCTGGTACCTGATCCAGCAGGATCTGGCAGACGTCCGGGGTGAAGTGGCGTAGGGTCGCCAGAGTTCTGCTGAGGATCTTGAGAAGGCCATACTGGACTGTGTGCAAGGCTCGCTGCTCCGACGCCTCTGTGTCAGCAGTGGGCTGCTTGGAGGAGGAGGCGGAGGAGGAGGAGGCGGAGGAGGAGGAGGAAGGGGCAGGAGGGGCAGCTGTGGGTGGCCGCTGAACTCGAGGGGTGACAGCCGAGGGGATACCATCCCCATTTTTGTTCTGGGGGAGAGGCAAGAAATGGAGGTGGAGCACAGAGAAGCCAGGGGTGAGGCATTCCAGGCAGCCAGGGCAGGAAGGGGCTGTTACCTGCAAGTAGTGCTGCAGCATCTTGCGGCTGTGCAAGAGGGAGGTGCAGGCCTGGCACAAGTAGCCCAGATTGACCTGGAGCAAACACAGGAAGGATGAGGGAGATTCTCTCAGCGGCAGCCTCGGCCAACTGACCAGACGAACCAAACAGGTCTCTATGTGACACCAATGCGCTTCTCTCTCTCTCTGAGCACCTCCTAATGCTCACCTCTCCACAGTCTCTAGCTTATAATATAGCCTGTTCCTCAGGGATGTGAACCAAGGTCTGTCCAATACAGCCCAGGCTCTTAAACTACAAGGCTGCCCTTTGCTGTGGGAGGGAACAATTTGGCTCCAGAGGAAGAAACATGAAAGCAAACCCTGCACTCCCTATGCAAAAAGCCCATGTTCCAGGAACAGGCCTGAAATTCACTGGAGGTGCCCTAGAGAGTGCCCACTGACCCCTGTCCCCAAGCATTTCCCCTGACCCCTCCAAGAAATCACGTCTGAGGCCCCACCTGGACATCCCGCATGAGCTGAGGCAGGTGGAAGTGCCATTCCTTCATGAAGTTGGAGAGCTGCAGAATGAAGCCTACGGTGTGGTCCGCCTCCTCCAGGCAGGCCAGACTCTGCACTGTCCTTACCGCATTGAGGCACTGGGAGGGGAGAGATAGGGAAGGATGGGGGGATTCAGGGACCTGACACGCCTGCTCCTGCCCTCCTGTGGGAAGGCTAGGTCCTGGGCCCACAAACGCTGAGGTGACGGCACAACAGATGGCTTGGCATTATGACTAAGAGGTTTCTGTCTGAGCTGATCCCAGAGCATTCCTCTCACTCAGCAGAGCAGCTGCAGTAATTGACCAGTCAGCCAGCAGTCCTTAGAGCACTGTGGAAATGGGGGCATGGACACCCCTCAACTGCCAAGCCTCAAACCCTGAATGGCCCAGACCCCCTTTAGTCCCAAGCTCCCATCCCTATGATGCTGGCAGCCCATCACCTACCTGTAAGGTCCGCTCCTGGTGAACACCCACGAAGTCCAGGGCCTCAGTCAGGAAGTTGTAGCGCAGAGTTTTAAGGAGCCGCTCCATCAAAGACATGGACAGGCGGTAGACCCCCGGCCAAGAGGGGGCATCCACAGACTTCCGAGAAGTGCTAGGTGTCTAAGACACAAACAGCGGACATGATCAGGACACGGCACCAAGGAACCCAGCTGACAGGTACAGCAGGGCCTCCTTGCAGCACAGCAGCTAAGGCAGCCTGGCTGTTTGGAGGAGAAAACGTCCTGGAATGGGCAATGCCACTGCCTTGCGACCAGCAGGGCCAGAGAGGGTCTGAGGCCAAGGGTTACAAGGAAAAAGCACTAGGCAGAAATACAAGAATCCTGGTTTCTACACTCGGGTCTGCCACTAACTAGCTGTGTGAGCTTCTCTTTCTAGAGTCAGTGTTGTGGCGGGGAGAGTTCTGTACCATCGGTGCATCAGATGAGCCACTAAAGAGAACAACTTCTGGGGCGAGCGAAAGCACAGAGGGTAGGGAGGCACTTTTCTGCTGGAACTGCGGTCTGGCCGGTCCAGGCCTCCTGGCAGGCCACCGGCACTCACCTGCACCGTCCCATTGGTGCTGAGCTGGTATACACTCAAGAGGGGCAAACAAATGCTCTGGGTGATGCCGGCTCCAGCCACTGCTGTGGCTCCCTAGGAGGGAAAGACATCGAATGCAAGGGAACCTGTCCCTGCAGCCGCCCGATCCAGGGGCAGGTAGAGCTCTGGGGCTGGACCAGAGCTTCCGGGAGACTCACAGGCCATGTCAGAACCCGCCCAGCACAAGCAGAGAGGCTCCCTCCTGCCCTCGGGCTTGCCTCCTACCTGCTGGGTGCGAGCCAGAGTGAGGAGCAGGTGCAGCGCCGCCTCGGTGAAGTGCAGGTTCTGCTTCATGCGAAGGCTCACCTCCAGGGTGGTGAAGAGGGTCGGCAAGATGGGGAGCCTGCGGGTCACCTGCAGCCACGAGTCACCATCCTCATCTACCTCACACAGCTCCTTGGCCAGGTGCAGGCCCAGGACACACACCTGCTGGGGCCCAGAAACAAAGATGAGAAAAAGGGAAGGAAGCGGGGCA